TCTCTCTCTCTCTCTCTCTCTCTCTCTCTCTCTCTCTCTCTCTCTCTCTCTCTCTTTCTCTCGACACCCTTCTCTTCTGCAACTGGCCACTATGGTAAAATCTCAGACAGGTAAATGATTATTTTAGCTTGTTGAGTTTAAGGAGCTTTTCCACCATTCTTTACAGAAAATATCATGCTAGGCAAAATAAACTAAACCGCAAAATCCAAAGGTTGAATGTTTTCTCTAATAAGCAGATGCTAATCCTTCCTAATGGGAGGCTCAGGATAGGGAAGAATTAAGGAATTTTGGATTGGGCAAAAGGGGAGTGAAGGGAGGGGAGGGGTGTGGAGATGGGAAGGATGGTGGAATGAGACAGACATTATCATCCTATATACATGATTGATTACAGTACTCGTGTAACTCTGTACCATGTTCAGCCAGAGGAATGAGAAGTTGTGCTCCACTTCTGTACAATGTGTCAAAATGCATTCTACTCTCATGTATAATTAATTAGAACAAATTAAAAAGTAAAATATAAAAAAATTAAAAAGAAAGCAACCTTGATTTTTATTCCTTTCAGTTAACACAATCATGAGGAATCTATTCTATAATTAAACTACAGGAAGACTCTTTCAGCTGCTCAAAAAATCCTTTCTGTTTATCTTTAGAATTTTTTGTTGTACTCTTGAAGTGGCACCCCCTTTCTCAACTGAGAAATCTTCATTGGACCTCTCCAGAAATCTTCACCAGGGCTGATTTTAGGACTGTTAGCAAAAGAGTCTCTGCAAAACAGTCCAATGGAGATAAACTTACTTTTTTCATGTCACCTGTTTCCTTGGCCACTGGCCGAGAAGATACCAGCACTCCAGGTGCTGGACACCCCCTTAATAGTTTTCACAAACATATCCAGGATAGTACTTTAAAGAAATGTGCAAACAAGGCCTCTGGCCTTGAGCTGGGCTTCACTGAGATGTCTACGTTTTTAAGATAATTTATAAATGGGCTCCATGGTAACAGCTGGCAGGGAGAGGAAAGAAAGGGGAGAAGAGGCTCTCCCTTCTCAGGTGTTGTCCTTGAAGAGTTAACATGCCCAGAACAGTGAAAGAAAAAGCTGCTTTTTATGTGAACTTCTGCAGCCTGTGAACTTCTGAGCCCCTCCCCTTACATGCTGGGTATAAAACTCTGAAACTCCCTGAACTTGGGGTTCAGGATATTGATTGATTACAGCAAAGGCTGTATCCTCTGAACCTGGCTACAGCCAAATAAAACTGTTTCCTGCTATCTTTGGTGCCTTGCCTCCTTTATCCCTACAACATTTTTGGCACCCCAGATGGGACAGAGGAGGTAAGGAAGGCTATTCTGCCTCTCTTGTCTCCAGGGACCGGCTTCCCTGGGGCGATGGGGGACAGCGGTCCCCTTGGCATGCCCAGGCCACTCTTGGCCTGAAGGATGGTCAACTCACCCAGTGCCCTGTTGCTGCCACCCCAGAGCACAATGGAACCCACAGGCAGCAGGAACCAGAATTAGGGTTTTGGAGCACCGTCTATCTGAACAGGGAGGACCCAGGTCCATTTGGATTTGAAGCCCACCTGACTTCCCCTTCAAGGCCTAAGCAAGTGGAAGAGAGGCTTGATCGCCCTCTGTTGGGTCCCGAGTACCCTCCAAAGTGGTTGGAGCTGAAACGGACCCAGGGAGTCACCCGAGTAGCCTCTGTTCAGGATCAGCGAGCAGAGGGGAAACTGTGACTCCCTTTTCTGTTTGGTTTGGAGTTGTTGGAATTTGGGCGGGATAGAAATTCTGTCCTGACCATGTCTGTGTGAAAGTGTGTGAATGAGACAGACAAAGGGAAGGTTTCCGACCCAACCCGAGGGCCGAAGCAAGTGCAGAGTCTTGATCCTTGGTTCCATGGCACCTCATACAGTCTATGGCAGAGTTTCACCAACAAATGTCTAGGTGAAAGCTCCAGATTGGGGGCTGATACCGACCTGCAAGGCTAAGAGGGCCCTAAGACCCCACGAGGGGAGCAGCCGGGAGATGGACGAAGTGAGTCTTGTCCTGTGTGTTTTGTTCTAAGTGTGCAACACTGATGCAGGGTGGAACATGGGAGGCACACTAAGGAAACTGAGCCTTCTGAAATGTGTCTTAGAAACCTTTAGGAAGGTTTTTCCTGGTAACTGTGGGATGAAACTCACTCCACAAATGTTGCATACTCTGTGAATTAGAGTGGCTCACCCAAGATGTGGGCTGGCCACCAGAAGGATCTTTAGATGAGAGAGTCATTGCTGAGGTCCTTTTGATTATTGTTGGAACCCTGAACCAATTCTCTTATATTGATTGCTGGCAAGAGATAGTACAGAAACAGCCCCCTTGGTTGAGAGCTTGTCTAGATGGACAGTCGAAGCTGATGTTAGCCAGGAGCATAGTGGTCTCTAAGACCCAGTGGAAAGCAGATAAATAGAAAACCTGTCTAGGAAAACAGGAAAGGAAACAGTTTTCCCTGTGAGCCAGAAGAGGACCCACGACCTTATGTGCCACTCTACCCTACTTTGCCAAAACCACTGGGACAACAGACTGTCCCCTATCCCCCTCATCCTTAGAAGCAACAAATGATGGCCCCCAATACTGGCTACTCCTTCCTCTTTGATGTTCTCAAAGCCAAAGCCTTCCTAGGACCAAAGAGTCTTTCACCTCCCAAGATTACTGGGAGATTTGCCCCAAGACTAGAGCCACAACTCAGATGAGAACTCTCCAGATGCCCCTGCAAGGGACTAAAGGACCTGCCCATGTTAACCAGAGGGAAACACCTGAGGGAGACAAGGCAGTTTTGTGTGCCAGCCTTTCACCACCATTGTGCTCATAAACTGGAAAAATCCTACTCCTTCCTACACGGAGAAACCCTGGGCCATGACTGATCTGATGCAGCCCATTATCCAGACCTAGGATGGGCCCCTACAAAGAAGAAGGTCTAAAGATAAAGAGATGTCAAGAATCCCTCAGAGAAAATCTTTAAAAAAATAAAAAATAGAGAAGAAACACACTGTGCCCAAGAGTTAGAAGGAATCAGAGCCATCCCTGAGCCCTAGCCTAAGCTGAGCGCATCTGCAGACAAATAGAGCCAAGATAAGTCTCCTGCTGCTCCAGCATCTCCCTCTCTCACCCTTGATAGCCTGAACATTTCTTTTGGCCCCACATCTGCCTAAGGCCCCTCTGCCTTATGAAACTGGCAGCAATAATCAAAAGAGATGTGCCCAACTGACTCAGAGCTAAATGTCCAGGCCACCACCACTGCCGCCCCTCTCCCTGCCCAGAGGTGTCCAGGGGAAGAGGGGCACCATACAAACATTACAGCTGCAATGCAAGTTTGTCAGTTAAGAAATGCACAGTCTCAAGCAACAGGTGATCAATGCATCCTTTATGGGACAGTCTCAGAGAGCCATTTGCCAAAAATTACAATCCTAGAGGGCTTTACTGAGAAGTATGCAGAGACTCAAAGATAGACAGACCAGAAAGATAAAGGGGAGGGTGGATCTCCTTACAAACCCAGAGTTCACTCAAAGAGGAGTCTCACTAGTACAAAGACAATGGTCCAAATGTTTATAAGGAAGAAAAAAAGCATGGCCAGACAAAAGGGGAAGCCTCCAATGGCCCTGGCAGACAAGTACCCACTGCCATGCTCAAAAGCTAAGACTTGAACAGAGAAGGAATGAATGTTTTGGCCCCAGCCCCTCCTTTCAGTTTCTTCCTACTTGCTCGGAAGTCTGTGATTGACGAATATGGCAGGGGTCCCATA